CAATGGTGAATCATGCAACATGGGAGTGGTAAAGGCTTTCCCTATCTCTAAAAGGAATTTTATGCTGCAAGAAAACATACATTGAAGTCCATATAGGAGGCGCGCATGGTAAGCCATTCATGATCCATAAGCTTGAATGTTATGCAATAGAGAAGGTCAAATGCCAAGTCATTCTCTGCCAAGGCAAAGACCAAAGATTAGTTAAAAAAAACAACCAGGATAGATACTTTTGGTGTTAATATTAGTTAAATAGGAGACTCAAGAGCAGATTTTCTGGACTAGAATACTGGGGAAAAGGAAACTTCATGATTTTCTACACCAGTATACTGGAGAAAAAGGACAAAAATGCAGAAAGAGCAAGAAATGCTTCCATGCATGCCATTTCAACAATATTCCATCATAAACATTTATAAACCAAAAAATCTAACTCGGAAGCTTAATTATTACCTGCAAGAAACTTCAAGAAAGTTGCTCCCACCAGTGTTCGTGGTTTGACTGTAGAATTGAAGCACATAGTTTACATTTCCAGAAAATCAAGTTCCAATTCCAAAAATCTAGTTTCAAAGACTGCAATTTGGATGTGCCATAGATATTAATCAATTACATTGAGCTTTATACAGTTACTCCAGATATGAATTCCAATTCAAAATTGCAAATATACTTTGTTTGCATGCAGCTTGGATATAAATGAATTCTATTGAGCTTTGCATAAGTAAAACAAAAGGACAACCATAATTGACCAGAAAAGGCAAAAGAGCATTCACAAGACCCTACAAGAATCTGTAGAAACAAGTTTCAAGAAAATCATGCGCCTCATTTAAAAATCTCAAAAGAATGAGAGAAAAAACAATTTCAGAATGACATGTGAACCATATCCATGGGACATCAAACTTCAAGATATTCTTACTATTCAACAGAAACCAAAGACTAATAACCATAGAAAGGAAACTTTGGAGATCAGTACACTCCTCCAGATTAGAGTGTTACAGATTACCAAACAAAATTATATAACTTTTCCCTGAAAATACCTGCTTCAAGATCAAGCATCTGAATAAGCATAAACGTGATGTTCACACCAGCTACAGCAAATGGGTATTCCCATACTGATCTATCACCTTCCCTCTTCTGAAGAAGATCCTGAAAGGACTTCTGCATGGAGCCATGGACAGGTTTGGTTACTTTCAGAGGAAAAAAGATGATATAGATAGCAGAATTTAAATAGTTCTCGTTTTAAAATTATTACACTTCCACAAAAAAAAAAAAAAAAAATTATGACACTAACTCTTACACAGGTTTACTAATCTTACAGCTTATAAACCATTGGGTAACATGCATAAAAATGCAATAACTATTGTTAATGGCACACATGCAAGTGCACAGATTAGCTCAAATGCCATGAGATAGAGAAATTCAATAATTCTGAACCTAAATATTGTGGTGTCCATTAAACAAAAATGTAATGCAATGGTCTAGGTTTCCATGGTGTCACCTAAAAAAAATTCAAAAAAGACTGAGGAAGCCACAGAGGAAATTAAGTTGACTAAGGTTTCTAAACAATACGTACCGGAAAATTCCTAGCAAAGAACAACAAATTCTCCAATGATATAAAACCACCACCCCTAGAAAAATAAATGCGAGTATCATAAGCATAACAAGGCAATGATGGTGGGAATTGCTGAGAACAACATCATGGGATTAACAAAGGAACCGATGGTCTACCTAAAATCTGTTGATGGATCCTTTCCTTGCCAACCCATTTCCTTCCACTGCTCGGATATCAAATCATGAAGTTCTTCTTCAGGAAAAGCAGCATTCCATAAGGCCTTCAAAGCTTCCTAGAGGAAAGCAGCAATAAGACATGATAACATAATCAGAGAGCCTTCACATTTCAAAAAATTTATAGCCTGATAATATGCATGAAACACGTGAATTGAATAATTGACTCATAAAAATGACAAATCTAGCAAACAAGCAATTCATATTTTAAATTGGTTGTACTGATTCTACATCTGTCATGTTCATATCATCAATGGAACCTTCAGAATGGGTACCTGGTGATCAAGAACTGAACTATCATAGGGAACATCTATACGGCTCTGCAACCTCTGCAAGCATTCCTCCTGAATGCATCAAAGAGAAGATAATAATTTAATTGGCGAGGATAGTAAGTTACTAAAGAAAGCCAAAGATTAGTTAAAAAATGGGGGTCGGTGTCTTTGATAATTCTCATTTGGCATTGCTGGTGCAGCAGATTTTAACATTAATGACAACAGAGGATGGATATTAACGGGGTACATGTACTTTGAAAGCGACAGATGAGTACAGAAACTATTAAAAAGGAGGAAAAAATATTCAGTGTTTTGTTATAGTCCACCACAAACGGAACAAATGTTGGATTTACATTACAAATAAAACACACGTGCAAAAATCAACAAAAGAAGGCACCAGGAGATGCAGAAAATATTGTCGATGAAAACTTCTTCCTAGTAAGCTTGTTTTCCCCTTGAAAAAGAGATACAAGGAAAGAAAACTAGCTTTAGATTGATCATGCACAAAAAAAATACCTGTACAGGGGTTAAATCAAATGATGGACGAGCATCACTCTCTCTTCTTTGTGCACAAACACAAGAAAGACCACGGCCAAGCCACGCTGCTGATCCTGCCACAGCCTCAGCTGTGACACAATAAAAACTTCTACATGAAAATTTCAATTTCTACAACTTGAACAGCAAAGCATAACAATGCAATGCAGCAACATTCCAAGAACAAGAAGCAGAAAACAATCCACATGCTTTATTGCTAATCCCCAATATAAGCAGGAAAAAACATCATTCTTAACGAGCATGCTTCATGCTCAATATCCAACAATCGTTTCTTCTAAACCGCAGCAACAGAAATAAGCTTCACAAAAAATTTTAGGTCCAAATTATTGACAGCCAAACCAAGGCAAAATGTAATGTTGGTGCAAAATAAACATCCAAAAAAATTGACTTGTCGACTTCAGATTAAAGTGTATTAAAAGCAAAAGAAAAAAAAAACCATGTACAGATATCTAACTTCATGAATAATCATAAATAGACTACATATGCAGACGATTTTTTTTAAAAAAAAAACTGAATACCAGAAAACATGAATGTGACATGAAGAATTTCGTGTTACTCAGAACCTAATTAATAGTAAATAAATTGATTCAATTCAAGCCACAGATCCAATATTAAAAAAAAAAAAAAACAGTAACGACAGCACATTAACAGAGAAAGAAAAGGAATTAAAACAAGATTACCAGAAGTTGAATGGCAAGTATTATTTCCTCGCTCGAGACCTTGAGAAATCCTCCTCACAGCCACAAATGATCCTCCTCTATCATCCATCTCTCCTCTCTCTCTCTATTCACTCCAGCATTTCTCAACTGAGAAAACCAGACAAAAACCTAAACGTCACAAAATTGACAACTATATATATATATATATATATATAAAACGTAAACGGATTGAAATATGAATGAGAAAAGTACCGAACCACAGCGGAATCGGAAATGCCGGCCGGATCAGCTGACAACCGGATGGAAATGCCGCCCAAATCAGCTGTCAACAGAATCCGAGTCAGCAACAAAAGGTAACAAATTATAGAAAACGAAGAACGGAGAACAAGCGATTCTATTTGTTCGTTGAATTAGCAAAGGATGAATGAAATGTTAGAGAAATTGTTAGAGAAAAAAGAAGTCAATCTGTTTTGAATGACGGTGAAAAAGGAAAGGAAAGGAAAGCTAGGGTTTGCTTTTAGATCTGAGAGAGAGAGCGGTGAGAGTTATTCGCTGTATTCTTTTCTGTTTGAGTCTCTCTGGATTTGTGGAGGCATTTTGTTTATTTGGGGAGAGGGACAGGTGATCTTTTTAGAGAGTAACGAATTTAATGGGGATTTAATTAATACGCCAGTTAGTGATAATGTTACGTTTTTGACACTTTGATGCTCTTAATCCGCTGCTGCTGAGTTAGGGTGACGCTTGCGGGATAGAGATGAAAACATAACCATCACGCAATTGCTAACCATAAACAATCTTGAATTTAGTTTCTGCTTCAATGCCGCGGCGTCTTAATGAGTCCTTGATATTGGACGAGTGGGCGGTGGTGTGACTCTGTGTGTGGGGTAAGGGCGGGTAACGTATCGGGGAAGTCGATGTGCACGCTGATTGGTGTGGGCTTTAAACGGGAGGAAAGGGTGTCGAGCGGGAAAAAAGAGGGCTCCTAAGAAGGTTAGCTGGTTAGGATAGGATAGTTAGGTAATTTGCTTGCTTTTAATGTTTCTTCTTTCTCAAGAGTTGCCTTAGGCAAATTTGATTAATTCTCGACTTCCTATAGATTTATAAATTTTTACTTCATTTAAAATTTATAATTCTCAAACTAAATTTATAACTTAATTAATTATATTATATTATATAAAATTAAATATTATAATTATTAACTTTATTTTATATATGATAAAATCTTTATCATACTCTAAACCTTAAAAAAAATGGAAAAAGAAATTAACTACCGAGTAGCTTGATTTTTGTGCAAGTACAAGTTATTATATATATAAATTTTTTTATATTAATATGAATGTTTGGGATAGTTTACGCATCACAACTAATTTTATGAATTTTAAAATTAATAATTATATAAGTTTATAATAACTTTAAAATTTATAAGACTTGAATTAATAACTTCTAAAAATTTAAATTTTAATCAATTAAAATACACCACTCAATATTTCAAGGAAAAATGTGAAACGTTTTGATAGGGTTAGCTGTTGTACTCGTTTTGCATGTAAAATATGAATTCCATGTGAATCAACCAAGATAAACTAAGATAATGCTGGATGGGATTGTCAATTTGCTTTCTAGTTTCGAAAAGCCTTGACTTTTGAATAAATAGAAGGAGAGAAAAAAGGAGAAAGATTTGCAAAAATAGAAAGGAAGAAATTATTTGCGCGATATAAGAAAAGAAGCTGGCGGAAATGCCCTTGAGAAAAGTGAAAAAGCTCACATGAGGTGTCGCCTAACGTGGACCAAGGGCATGATGGTTGGAGTTCATTGAAGGGCGCAGGGACTACGCTAAAAACATCATTCGTACTTTGCCCACACACCACAGTGACTGATGTATACTTCCAAATTAGGGGCATGGTCCCCACGCAGGGGCCTTTCCACCAAACTGATGTATAGCTCGGTTTAGGAGCCAGATCACACGGGTTACTGTATTCATCTGAAAATATTTAAAAATAATATTTGAAATTTTAATATGATAAGTTAATAAATAATTAATGTGAATATAATAAAGAATTTAGCATGTAACCTATACCTGTTAAACCCAAGATATCCCATCTCGAAAACCGCCTCTCCCAAGCAAACGACCTTTCTTTCAGCGTGGACCGGGACTTGTTGGACTCTTCGTCCAATTAGGACTCCGAGGCACTGAAGGCAACTCTTGATAAAGAATTAAGGACAGAATAAATATAAGATTTCTTGTAATAAACAAAAAAAAAGAGTCTTCTCATGACAAAGAGAGATTATTTCTGACTTAAAAAATAAAATAAAAATCAAGATTATTAATCTAATGCTGTGCACTGTATTCATCTTCAACGTACACACTACAATAATTGTTTTCCCTCCGTGAATTATTAGAGAAAGCAACGGAACTGTTACATGCTAGTCGTTAGAGACCAACTCAGCCCACCACAAAAAGTCTCGGAACTATGGAGCCACCTCGACGCATGAGATCACTTTCAGGCCAAATCTCCGCGTGGAGATTCGAACCCAGGGCTCCCAGATGGCTGGCTGGAAGCACGAGCCAGAGGCTTTTTTCCGCACAGAGGAAAAGGGATATTGGTTCGAGGAATGAAAAACATGTGATATCATGCAGATAGCGTTGATATGATTCACAGATAAATATAGATAACCTGCAAGGTTTAAGAAAAACTTATGAATTTATATTTAAAAAATATTCCTCAGCACTTGCTCCGAAGGGGTGAACTATAAAAAATAAAACAAAAGGAGACAAATCCCATTGAACACAAAATCCCATGTGTTGGGATTGGTAGCATCAAATATTTTTAGCATGATTAAATTATAAGTGCCTGAAACGTTTCTTGTACCCTCCTGAGGTTGCTTGACGAGAGGGCAATGGTACTGTGACAATTTATTGGTACTTGAACTAGCATCTTTCCGTTGCAACTAATTCAGTTACGAAATGAAGTGTGCTCGGGGTTCAGGTTATGTTTTTCAAAAATTCTGAAACTTTTTTTTTATTTAAAATGATTTTTTTATATTTTCATATCAAAAATATTTTTAAAAAATAAAAAAATATTTTACACCATTGCCGAAATTACAAACAAGCCCCTGGCATAAATTTGTAGTCAAATGCAGACGTGGCAGTAACTTTGAGCCTGGCAAGCAACAGAATAAACTAGACTATTCCATGCCGATTCAATCCTGCGTGGACCTTCTACTTTTACCAAGACCTCTGTCGGGTCATATTTCATGAATGCGCTGCTTTTATTACATTACTTCTCGTTTATGGTAACATAATATTCCTGGACACTTTTAAAATTAAGACAGAAAAAAAATAGTAGGTCACGGTATTGTTTTTTTTTAAAAAAAAATAACACATTTCCTTAGAAGTAAATAAAAAAATAAACTAATAGTCCAGGTAGAGTTCAAATCCTCGACCCTCGGCGCCTCCAATGCACTAACAAACTCACTTACCAAACAAAGATGTTATCAAATTATTATAAATCTATATTAAGTTGTTTTCATTGTAGAATCAACCCCGTGTCATTTTATTGTTTGTTTAATAATTATATTAATTCGCACAGTAATGAAGTAATATCCTCTCTTTTATGTCTTAGACAAAATATACTCCATGGCAATACAACATTGGATTTTTATTTTTTATAATAAACATCTATCTAGCTTGTATAAAAACAAACTAGTAGAAGACAGTAAATACATGGTTACTACTAAAAATCACACAGGTTTATCGTCAGAGTTTTATATATATACTAGCACAATTTAAAAAACAATCTCCAAAATATCTCAATTCAAAATTTATTTAAAAAAATAATATAATTTAACAAATTGTATATCTCATATATTATTTGCAAGCCACAAGCCTATGACTCGTGAGTCATACATGAGGAATGTGACTCACTCAAAAAAGTTATTGGGATAGTTTTTCTTATATTTACAGCCTTTTATTATAAAAAACAACATAGTAAATGTATCACAATTAAGAAACATAAATCTCAATTTATGTCCCTAGCACAATTAAAAAAATCAATACACATCATGAAATATAACAATTCATAATTAAACATAATAAAAATTAATATAACATTATATTAAATATAAACTAAATTCATAATTTTTAAACATGAAAACATGCAATTTGACTACACTTAAAAATCATCTCAGCTCATCATGAATGAGTTTGGAGTGCCTATTAACGGGTTTGTATCACCCCCTAATTTATCCAACTTAAGAATAGGTCTGTAACGTTCATGTTCATGTAAGGATTAATATCAAAATTATGCTATCTTGTAAATATACATATAATTTATATGGATGGGTTGGACCATTCATATATAAACCTGCCTTCCTAAATTCATGTCAATATTCACTATAAACAATTTTATCTCTTATTAAGGCTGCTTGGAGTTACCCAACCTCTTGAAACTCAGAAGAATACAAATTAAGCAAATTGTTGGTCAAGGTATGTGTCATCTCATCAATATCTTCTCATCAATGTCTTCACAGATAATATAAATTAATTAATAGTCATTATTTATAATAAAAGCAACCTTCATTTAATAAAAATTATATATAAAAAATTATTGTATATCAATCAATTTTATCTTAGTTATCAAAACTTATGATACTTTACATTACATGAATGCTTAGGAAAATATAACAATACAGGTACAATGTACCAACATGTTATAGATAAATATCATCCTATATTATATTTAAATCAATCATAAATTGTCGCAATCTCTCCTAGCCTTTTAAAAATACAGGTAAACCAATTTTCTTTCCACTTATTGTTATCTTAATAATTGATATTGTCCAACTTATCATAACCTTTTAAAATTATAGATAAATCAATTTTTTTTTGCTTATTATTATTTTAATAACTGATATTATTCAACTCATCATTGGTATTAATATAATACGTGATATGCTAATACAAACTATTTTTTATTTTTTTTTCAACCCCTCATTCATCGTATAACAATAAGCTAACATGCCTACAATTTAAAGCTCAATCGTTACATGTCTATTAGCTATATCCATTTATGTGCTTAAAAATTTTAAATTTTTAAAAACCATGATTCAACTATATTTTCAAATACTGTCTACATCTTTTGCGGTTGAGATTTAAATAAACCATTCAATTTGAAGCAGTGCACATATGATTATGCATGTGAAATGGCATGCAGAGGCCTAAATCTAATACGGGAGGCCCAACGTTAGCATACCATGCACATATGTAATTCCCAATGTCTAGATAACCATTCCCTTTGCGACATCAAAAGGCGTTTTGTGCATAAATCGAGCCTAAGGCTCTGAAAGTCATGTATAAAAACACACCAAAGCCTCTTTACATGCATTCTTCACCTTTTTCTTCTTATAATTAAGTCAGGCAGATTCTAGAGGGGGGCGGGCGCTGCGGGCGGGGGGGTACAGTGGAGCTTAAGAATAGTTTGTAGGAGGGATCCCATTCCATCTCAAGAGAGAAGAATAACATCCTTCCTTTTTTGTTTCTCTTAATTAAGGGATAGTTTGATATCATTTTTATTTTTTATTTTTCAAAATCAAATCTGAAAAATGAAATAAAAAACTTTTTTTTTTGTTTAGGTTTCAAACATGTATACTCACACGCATGTATAAGAAACTCATAATGATTATTAATATTTTAAAAAAATTCAAAATCCTTTTGTTTATGCTTGGGAAAAACCTAAAAACATAGAGGGGACAAAAAGAGATCCTC